GTTCCTTGGAACGGCTCTTCACACTCATCCAATATTTACTTCTTATAAGTGGGACCATCCCGTCCATCATGGCTATTAGTGAGAAGAATGGGGTTGGGACTGGGGAATTCATGCCCAGAGAAGAGTGACCCAGGATGTCACATGGTTAGCGGGTTAGTTTGTAACAGAGTATAAGGTGATATGCTCTGTCACAAGCCAACAGTCAACAGGAAATGCAAGGAGCACCTCAGCTTAGCAGGAGGCAAATGCTGAGGGGGTCAGGGTTGTCCCTACAGCTTGTGAAGCCCTCCTGCCCGGAGAGCCCCAAGTGAGTGCAATGCTCAGGCAGGGCCATGGGCTAGATCTTTCTTTTTCTTTCTCCTTTCTTTTCTTTCCTTCTTTCTCCTCTCCTCTCCTCTCCCCTCCCTCCCTTCCCCTCTCTCCTCTCTGGATAAAGATAGGAGAGGCTCACTGGTGAGAACTCTTTGCTCCTGGTACCTTTGGACAAGCAAAATATTAAATTTCCATGAGGAAAAGGTGATAAGGAAAAACATTGACAAAGGCTTTTTAGTGGTAACAAAAATGAAATAAGAAGTCATTGAAAAGATTATTCGGGCCAAGAAATTATAATTATGCCAAGTTACTCACACCCTTTCATTCTGCATCTCTGTTTTAAAAATAAAGAGTTAAAGATAATGATTGAGCTCACACATTATAGACTCTCCATTGGTTAATAGGGAATAATTATCTCTCCTAATTTTGCCCTAATTCTACAGTTGGACTGAGCAATTTTCTTTATTCTTTATTTACATAGTTCTAGTCATTTGTTCAACTTATTTGGCATTTAGCACTTAGCATTAATGACCTGGCATTATTTGTATGTATCTGTTCTGTCTTCATAACTAGATTATAAAGTATTTTGTGGTAAAGGCTATGAGATTATTTGATAGTTTATTCACTTACTCATCCATCAAACATTCATTGGGCACTCACTACCAGGGATGGAGCTAGAGTCTAAAGAGAGAAAGATAACAAGGCTTGGTATCTGACTTTGAAGATTTAGCAGTAAATAAACAGCTATGAAATGATGTAACAAGTGTAATAGTAGAGGTTCTATGTATAAGTTGCATAGAGAATTATCCTGCCCAGCTAGGAGAAGGGAGTGTTTGAGCTGAACCTTGAAGGAGAAAGGAGGAAGAGGAGTTTCCCAGAGGGAGAAGGGGTAGGGAACAGAACGATTAATGGGAGCTTCTGATAAGCCTGGAGACAACAGCACATGTTGGGAATGGACTGGAAATGAGACCAAGCTGAGGCATGAGCAGCCTTGAAGCTTTCTCTAAAGGCATGGATTTTATCTGCAAGGCAATGGGATACCACTGAGGAATTTAAGTTAGCCAAAGTCCTGATTAGCTCTCTATTCCCAAACCTCACCTGTCTGCAAGGTGGGTAAGAATGGATGAGGACTGGAACTAAGTTGAGAAATGTTTCAGTAATATAGAGTGGATGATACCTGAACAAGGGCACTGGGTGGGGATAAAGTGGAAGGAAGTAACTGGAAAGTTAACTTGGTGTCTTTCTTAGTCTGTTTTGTGCTGCTATAAATAGAATAGCACAGACTGGATGATTTATAAAGAACAGAAGCTTATCTGGCTCACAGTTTCAGAGACTGGGAAGTCCAAGAGCATGGTGCCACCATCTGGTGAGGGCCATCCCACAGTGGAAGTCACACACGGTGAGTGAGCACATCAGACAGAAAGTCGGGTTGAATTCATGCCTTTTCTCAGGAATTCACCCCCACAATAACTAACTACTCTTATAATAATGGTATTAATCCATTTGTGAGAGCTGCCCAAATGGATTAGAGTGACTTAATCACCTCTTAAAGCTCATACCTCTTAATACTTCCACAATAGCAGTTAAACTTCAGCATGAGTTTTGGAAGGAACATTCAAACATTTAGGAAGGAAAATCCAGAGAGTTGTTGATTAATGGCTGTGAGGGTGAGTAAGAAATTAGGACCACCACTGTGAAGAGAGATTTGTCACTATAAAAAAAAGGAATAGTCTGTGACCCAGAAATTTCAGTTACAGCCATCTACCCTAAAGAAGAATATTTACTGAGCATTATAGAAAAAAATCAGATAGGCCAACATGATCATCCATAAGGTACTGGATGAAGAAAATAGCATTAAAAAGAATAAGAAATATTTCTACATAACAAATGTTCTGTCTCCAACACATTATATGACTGAGTGAACAAAAAAAGCATGTTGTAGAATGGTATGTACAGTAGGTGTTGATGCCCTATGCCTTACCTCATTTGGGCATGTGGTGGAGTGAGCCCCTCTGCAAACAACTGTCTTTCCACCTCTTTACCCTAAAAATAGACTCATCAGCCATCAAGCCTCACCCATCTATAAAGTGCTTCTTCTTACTCCTCCGTTTTTTGGGGTTTTTTTTGGCCAGGGCTGGGTTTGAACCTGCCACCTCTGGCATATGGGGCCAGCACCCTACCCTTTTGAGCCACAGACGCTGCCCTACTCCTCTGTTTTCTTTAAATAAATAATATTGAGTAGATTCAAAATAACACTCAGAGAATACATGTGAACCATATAGAGTTTTGATATAGTCAATACTCCTGTGTTCACACTAATTCTAGGACCAGAAGAATGTTGTCATTATTTTCAGGGCCCTGTGTGTCCTTCTCAAAGCTACCTCATCCTTCCCCTCTTGGAAATAACCATTTTCCTGAATTTTGTTTATAGCTTCACACATTTTTATGGTATTTTGTTTCTTTCTTTTTTTTTTTTTAAGAGACAGTCTCACTTTGTTGCCCTCGGTAGAGTGCTGTGGCATCACAGCTCATAGCAACCTCCACTCCTGGGCTTAGGCGATTCTCTTGCCTCAGCCTCCTGAGTAGCTGGGACTACAGGAACCCGCCACAATACCTGGCTATGTTTTTGCAGTTTGGCCAGGGCTGGGTTTGAACCCGCCACCCTCGGTATATGGGGCCGGTGCCCTACTGACTGAGCCACAGGCACAGCCCTGTTATTTCATTTCGTGTGGTTTTGAATTTTATATATGAAATCATACTGAATGTACAAATGGAAGACAAAAATATACTGAAATGGAAATACTTATTATTTGCAGATAATATGCTTATTTAAAATCACTTGAAAATTAGTAAGAACAATATGACAATCCAACAAGATGATTAATATGAAAGTCAACACAAAATTTTAGTTTCTCGTATCAATAATAATTATAAAATAAAATTATAAAATAAAATAGTAATTACATTCATAACAGCAACAAATGATAATTTACTAACAATTCAAAATGGAAATCTGTAGGATCTTTCTGAGGAAATTTGAGACATTTTCTGTACTTGGTTAGTTGGCATGACCATTACTTTCTAACTAAATGCTTACTTCATGAGGGAAAATATTTGGTGACAAATCCACACTAAGTAACTAGCATACTGGACTCTCTTTCTCACCAGTACTCACATTTTACTTAGTGCTTCTAAAATTTAGGTCCCCCTGGTGGTATCTCACATTCAGGACACTTTACCTGTATAAGCATGATCTGGAAGTGTTCATTGAAGTGTTTATTGCAAAACACCATTCCAAGAGATTTTGTCTTAGTACTTCTGGGTAGAATTTGTTCACCTTCTTTTTAGCTTGGTAAAACACTGTTGCAACCTAGAGCAAGCAATCTGAGATTGTGTCTTCTCAGTTCTCTCAAAAGGGAGAATTTTTCTTTCTTTCTTTTCTTTTTTTTTTTTTGAGACAAAGTCTCCATCTGTTGGAGTAGAGTGCTATAGCATCATCATAGCTACAGCAACCTCCAACTCTTGGGCTCAAGTGATCCTCTTGCTTAAGTATTTTTTTTCCCTATATTTAGTAGAGATGGGGGTCTCGCTCTTGCTCAAGCTGGTCTTAAATTCCTGAACCCAAACAATACACATGCCTCAGCCTCCCAGAGTGCTAGGATTACAGGTGTGAGCCATCACGCCCAGCCCAAAAGAGAGATTCTTAGGAGTGAACATTTTTCCAACAGTCCTCAAATTATGTCAGAATAATTGAGCATTCAATATGTTTACTTGTGGTTCTTAAGACTATTCATACGTAGGGGAATACATTTGTACCTAGTGTTTGTACAACAGTGTTTATACATAGTGTTTGATATATATGAGTAATCTTAAGGGATGAACCTTGTATTGTTCTCTAGGCTTTGTCTGGGTTCTTCCTTATGTTTTGTGAATTTGGGAGGTGCTATAGTCAAAATATTTGTGTCTCCCAAAATTCATGTTGAAACTCTAACTCCCAAAATTATGATATTAGGAGAGGGGGCCTTTGGGTAGGTGATTGGGTAATGATGGCAGTGTCCTCCTAAATGGGATTAGTGGCCTTATAAAAGACACCCCAGAAGGCTGCCTTGCCATGTGAAGGCACAGCAAGAAGGCACCATTTATGAGAAATTGGGCCCTCACCAGACAAAAAGGAGAAGCTGTAGACCCTCAACTTGCTGACACCCTCTTCTTAGACTTCCCAGCCTCCAGAACCATGAGAAATAAATTTCTATTGTTTATAAACCATGAGTTTATGATATTTCATTATAGCATCCCAATGGACTAAGGCAGAAGGGAAGTAAGGAAGGTAGCAACAGGGTCAAGTACAGTAAGAATAGAGAGAGGCAGGAGTGCCTCTAGCACAGTCTTTGAATGGCAGATGCCCAGGCATTGTGTTACAGAATATTCTTATTTCATCATTTGTTAAAGGTTAGCTGGTCGTCAATGAACCAGAGCAGAAGACCAGAACGGAAATCATGACACCCACCCTACCATAAGTTTGGGCTTCCTCCAAAACCATTTCCTTTCTGTGTGTGGATGCAGTGGGCTGAACAGAGGATATAAGTAATCTTTAGGAGTCTCCTTCCATGCTACAGAGCCTGACTCTGGATGAACAGCCATCCCTGAGCTTTTTGCCTCTGCCTGTGGTCAGCTCTACGTTTACCTCCATGGGAGGCTTGGAGGGTCATCTGTACCCAGGGCTGTCTCTCTTCTTTTATGGACTTTACCATGCACGGCTGGTCTCCAGGGCCTTGATATGCAATGCTCCTGTCCAGTACCCACCACGCCATCCCTGGAGCAAAGGAAGATGGGCATGGCTACGGCAAATGTACTATGTCGGGCTGGTGAAGATACTCAGTGCCTGCATTTTAGTAGCCCACGAGTTGCATACCATTCCTAAGCATTTTGTGCTTATCACCAAGCTGTATCATGGGAGAAACTTTGTATACCGTAAACCGTGGCAGCATCTCACTTTCTACATGACCTATTTCCTGAGTGGGTGTGTAGACATGGCGAGCCAGAACCTGCTACCCCAGAGGTGCGTTGCTCTGGAGCAAAGTGCCCAAGTCCTGGGCATGTTTATCTCTGTGCCCCTGATGGTGTCTCACCTGCAGGACACAGAAGGAGTGGAGTTTTGGTCTCACGTGCTGCTCATCCAAACCATGTTCCTGCTGATGCTGGTAGTGGTTGCTGAGCTGTGGGCCCCCAACATGCTGCTCCTCTGGATGATGAAGGCCGTTTTGTACACCATCACAGGCTCCTGGCTGATGCAGATAGGCTTTATGCTGTATAAACCCATCTCTGGCTATAAATGGATGGATGATGATGAAAATGACTTTGCGTTTATTACCACCTTCTTCTGCTGGCATGTGGTCTTCGGTGCCATTTTGATGATCTGGATCTATGGCTTCTCCTTTTTGTGGTATCGTTACCTTTTTGTTAATGCCTAAGACAGGATGTTCACCTAAATCAGTGGTTCTCCACCTGTGGGTCACGACCCACAGGAACTATTAAAGGTTGAGAGCCACTGCCCTAAATGGTTCCTTATTGTCTGAACAGTGTAGGACATCTGGATGAGAAGTTGTGGGAGGTGGAGCTGTTGGAGAAAATTATAAGGCATACTTCCTTCAGAGGTGGCCGAGGCACCAGACTCTGCTGGGACAAGCATGCCCCTCCCCCTTCTGGCTTCTCTCAGTCTCATTTGCTGAGCAATGTGCAGAAGAACAGTGAATGAAACAAGAGAGGAGTGTACCTGTGCCCTTCACTCTTGGCTTCTCACAAACTGTACTCCCTTTCCTCAACTCCAGCAATGGTGACCTGCTTGTGCTCGATCTCTCTGCCTCCCTGTCCCCCCCCCCATTCAAATGTTAAAATAAATTTACTATATCCTATCTTTGGTCCTGTTTATAAATATCTCTCACCCACCACATAGGGTGATGACACTAACTGTTTTTTTATATAATAATATATCCATCATAATAACCCCCTCCTCATCCTTTCTTATTCTGGATCTCATCAATGTTCATACTAAATCTGTACTGTAATTTTGAATATGCAGAACTCAGAGAACTGTTTTTGAGTTTTTTTCTTTGATTACTTTGTGATTTATTATATAGAAAGTCATATCCTTAAAGGCAACTTCCTCTGTGGGGTCATTTATTTATTTAGTGAGGAGAAGGAAAGTGAAGTTTATTAATTTGCCCACAAATGAGGAGGCTGTCATACTCCTGTCTCAAAGTACCAGTGTCCTGATTCTGAACAGAAATACAGAACTTTTTCAGGGGATGGTTCTGATTAATCGCAACTTCAGCTAAGACAAGCCCATGACCTCCACTCAAACAATTCCTTTGAGCCATCTCCTGGGGCACAAGAACAAAGGACACTGCCCTGCCCAGCAGGGATGTAGGTTTAGTTCTCAAAAATGGTAAGGGGGCTTTGAAAGATGGAAAATATTTTTTAACCCTTTTTTCCAGGCCATTTTCTCTGTTAACATATTCCCCGCTGTCAATTTTACCCTTCCAAATCTGTGGGAGGAGGAGTGTCATAGTCATCATGCTACTTTCTGCTGAATTGAGGTGATGTTTTAGATGAAAGCTACAGATTATCAGGTGAAAAGGTTATCTACAACTGTGCGGAGTAACACCGTGAAATGGACAGTCACCTTGCACACAATGTCCAGTAAGAAACATGGGAGATCTGAGGATGGAGCCATTAGTTATACTCTGTATGTAATCTGAGAGACTGGCTTCTGCAAATTCAGAAATCTCATACAGAAATACTTCTACCAAATGAGGTTTAGGTTAACACACTCAGCAGCAAGACATCAACAGAAGAGGCAATAGCCCAAGGAAATCCTCACTAAGGAGTTGTCTCTCTATCCTCTAGATAAGCCAAATAGCCCAAAGGAATTAGGGAAAATATCAATGTTTTCATTTTTTTCTCTTCTCAAACAAACACTTTAGATCACCTAAGGCTGGCCCCACCATGGGGGGCTACATCTCTTTACTTTGGTATATGGACTCAAGGTTTCACTTCAGATAATTTTAACGAGGTATGAGTTGTTAGAGGCACTTCATAGGGTCCCTTCCACATCTGTGCTTCCAAATGGGGGAGGGATCTGAAGGAGGCAAACCCATGCACGGTGCTTAGCACCTGACAACTCATTTGACATACTGTTTGACTGTTTTCTTTTACTCATGGATATATTACCATACTTACCTCAGGGTGCTAGGAAGGGTCTCTCATCAACCATCTCTTCCGGCCTGAACTTAAGCTTGCCTGTAAAGGGCTACCCTTATTAGGAGGAGGGCAAGAAGCAATACCTTATTCCAGTTTAGGGGGATTCTATGTACTTTTTGTGTTACATACAGGGCATTATTTACTTGCTGACTCACCTCAGATACAAAGGAGGGTCCATTGTCATGTTCTATGGAGGAAAGGAGACTATGAGACTTTCATTGAGTCCACCATGTCCAGCTTCTCAGCCTCTGTGGGGTCTACAGAACAGAATACCCTGGGAAAAGGGCTCGCCTGTTTTCAGAGTTTCTTCAGCTCTGTCTCCCTGAATATAGAGGCTGTCACATTCTTCTTCTGACACATCTGAATTGATTTCTCAGTGGTAAATTCACCTGGACCCACTCTGCTATAGTTTTCAAGAGAATAAAATCCAAGGACTTATTTATTCCATGCACTTTTCTTTTTGAATCCCCACAACTATTTTATCAGTAATATTCTTAAAAAGTGTTAAGAAAATAGCTTAAGGTAGACAAACAGTTAACTTTGTCACATAATACTATGTAGATGGTTGTGACAGGGGCTTGGGGATTTGTAACAAATGTTGTGCCCTTCTGCTTCTCCACTCATTTCCTCAGGATCTAAAGAATCTGCCAAGCTTCCCTCACTCCTGATTGAGACTAAAACATCAAGTTAGGACAGAAGGAGATGGGCAGGGATTCTAGAGGGTCAACTTTCTGTTTTCCTTTTATTTTCTAGTTCCTAAGAGAACTAGAGGTACCCTTTAGTTTTGGTTCTACTCTTCCTTATTAATTTTCTTGTTCAAAAGTTAGGCTGGGAACCAGGTGTGGTGGCTCATGCCTGTAATCCCAGCACTCTGGGAGGCCGAGGCAGGTGGACTGCCTGAGCTCACAGGTTCAAGACCAGACTGGGTGAGAGCAAGACCCTGCCTCTAAAAATAGCTGAGTGTTGTAGCGGGCGCCTGTAGTTCCAGCTACTTGGGAGGCGCTGGCAAGAGAATTGCTTAAGACCAACAGGTTGAGGTTGCTGTGAGCTATGGCACTCTACCAATGGTGACAAAGCAAGACTTTGTCTCAAAAAAAAAAAAGTTAAGCTGGGCTGTTGTCTGGCTATCAAGGACCTTCACCCTCAGGCTTTTGGGGCTGGCAAGCATTCTGAATTATTGTAGGGTGACGGAGTGCTTCCCAGTGTCATTTAGCAGAGGCTCAGCTTGTCTCGGGGTTTGGGATGGCACAGAGTGTGGGATTTGAGCGTGTGACCAGCAGGCAACTTCTCTGGAAGGCTTACACTGCATTGGAGGGATGATCAGGCAAAAACATTACTCTCCATTAGAGACTAACAGGTTTCTCTAGCCTAGAAATGAAATATGGTTCGCATCGTTCAGCTTCCATGCTCCTTCTTGGTCCTGGGAATCAGCAGTGCCCTGGTCACCCACCTCTGGGTCCCATCCTCTTGTTTCTTCCCCATAGCCTTGGATATTTTTTTAAGCCTTGGCCTAGTCTTAAAGGTCCTTCAGATTGGGGAACCTCCTATAGTGCCCTGGGGATTGGGGTGGTAGGGAATCTGCTTTTCTGCTATGCCCTTTCCAGTTGATATGGCAAAACTGTGTTTTCTACTTTACTCAGACCTTCCCTTTTTGCTATCAAGAGCATATTTTGTACTTTTTAACCTAAAAATTGACTTTTTGTTTTCTGTTTTGCTGTTATAACCTGACATCTCATCTTTGACAAAAGAGAAGAAAAGTCATATATGAAGGTTGAAAATCAAAGCCCAAATATTAGTATTTCAGGATATTATCTCTACAAAGATGAAGGTTGAAGAGATACTAAAACCACCTGTTAGCTCTTAGACCTGTCCTGGTTTTGAGTACTTTTGAAGCCCTGATAAATACTTGTAAACTCGTTGCCTATACAAGATTAATGCCTCCAAATATTATTACATCTCATAACATTTGTCTTCTAGGTAAAATAAAAAAATATTAGCAGGAGCCTATGAAGCCACAGAGAATCACAGCTAAGGCATGATACAATGGTGGAAAGATGTGGCTGCTCTTTAGATGGTGACGGCCTTTCTGTACTCCTCATGTCACAGTATGTATGAGCACTCTGACAGCAATCCTAATCCTAATCACCCAAATGATTAGTAAGACCCAAATGAAAGTAAACCCAAATGAAGATGGGTTTGGAGAAAAACAAAATGTACAAATTACAATGGAGTTTTGGGAAGAAAAGTGTAATCTTCACTAACATCCACCAGAGGGCACCATCTTACAGGAGCCCTGAAAGAGTTCTTTCCATTTGGTATTGAACTACAGATTTAAAAGGCGAGATGGAGAGGGGAGCAGGAAAGTGTACCAGCATATACTGATCAGGGATCCAGTAAACATCATGTAGGCTTCTTTCCTGGTAAACTAGATGTGTAGGTATGAATAAGCCCAGAATTCAGTCAATACAGAAATATGTGTGTATATTCCCAAAACCTCTTGGTCACTCTGTCTAAATTCACCATGAGTCTTGAAGGTACTCTTTCCCACGAGGATACCAGAGGGCGCCAGATAGCCCCTCTCCAGCTCTGGCAGTAAGGAATTGGACATCTGTCCTAGACTCAGCAATTAGAACTTTCACCTTGGAGAAGTGACTTAAAAACTCAGAAGCAATGGGAGACTATGCATGATGGTTCCTGTGACAAGAAATAATTGATACAGGTGGTGCTAGCTGTAGTGGCATGGTGGAGACAAGCATAATTCCTGAGAGAATATGTTGTAGTTGAAAATTGACTTTGATTTCTATGTGAAGTGGTGCTAACCACCAAAAACAAAGTAAGAGTGGTTATCAGAATAGGCAGCTATGCGGGTCTGAATAGCAGAATGATTCGGCCCACAGATCTTTTGCAGTGGTCATTGACCATGGGGTCCCTTGGAAAAAATGTGTAGAAAAAATCAGCTCAGTAAGATTCTACTGGAGAACATAAGCTCCATGATGGTGGGGATTTTTGACTATTTTATTCAATGATGCATCCCAAACATCTAGAACTGTTTGTGTCACATAGGAGCTCTCAATAAATGTTTGTTGAGTAAATGAACTAATAAATAGGAGCCCCAAAGGAGCCATGATGGTAGAGAATAAGGGCCCTCTTTCAATTATCAACCCTGAGTCAGACCTATAATCTCTTAAATAAAAAGAAAAGCATTTCGCCA